CGGGAACGGCAGACCCGCGCCGAGGACCACTAACGGCCTGTCACTGTCAGGACGGCGGCCACTCGGCCCGGCCAGGGGGCGCGCGGCGGGCCTGGACGGGTGGGCGCGTCCCCTACCTTGCTCTGGGGAGGGTGGACCGGAGCAGCGCGGAACTGAGGGTCTCCTCCCAGGCGCCGGGAACAGGCTCGAAACCGCGCCCCTCCTTCCTCCTGAGCTGTCGCCACGCCCCCCTAGCCCGCACGGACCGGAGGCTCGGTCGGCGCGGGACGGTTTACCCCCTGAACGAGTGCTTCGGCGTGGCCGTTGCTGTCGCTGTCTTAGTCGCCGCTGCAACCGCCACTAACGCCGCCGAAGCCGGGCTTGAAAACATCTCCGGTCCCGGTCCGTCTCTCACCACGGCCTCCTCGCTCCCAGGACAGCTCCGCCCGGCGATTGGCTACGGCGCAGGCACGTGACCTCCGCGGACACGTGACTCCCGCGGGCACGGGACGGGCGGCGTGACCGCCCCGCCCCCCGGCGTCCGCCGCTCCTGCGGTTCTGAGGAGGAACATCTCGAGCCACGGGGCGGGGGAGGTGGCACGTACCAAGTGGGAGGCGGCGGGGGGTGGTGCGGTCCGGAACTCCACCCCACCCGGGTGTCACGGCCTCCCCTCCGCCGTCACCGGCCTGAGAAGGGAGGAGGAAGGAAAGGCTAGCATAGGAGACGGCGCAGGCGCCGCTGACGCTCCCAGGAAGGCGGGGTCGCTTTTTGCAGCGACTATGGCAGTAGCTGTGACTGGAAACTTCTGGAAATGGCGGCGGCGATGAAGAGGCTCCACGTAGGGTATTCACATGTTATTTATTTATTTATTTAGACCGGTAAGGGGATCGCAACCCTCCGCACGGTGTGGTCCGCACCACGCTCAGCCAGAGGGCGCACCGGCTATCCTATGTAGGATCCGAACCCGCGGCCTCCGCGCTACCAGCGCCACACTCACCCGAGTGAGCCACCGGGCGGCTCCACGTTATTTTTAAAGGGGGTGGGTGGACGAGCTTGTGAGTTCGGGCCAGTGTAAAACCATGCTGCGACCCCGGCTTGAGGCCGGGAAGGGGTTTGTGAGCCTCTGAACTCGCGGCTGCCGGTTGGCCAGCCAGCTCCTCGGTCAAGAGGCGGCGTGGTGCGCCCGCACCCAAGGCTCCCGTCCCCCGCGCCTGGTGGGGCACCAGTTCCCATCCCGAAAGCGCAGTAGTGTGTGCACCTGCCGCGGGGACCGCAGGATGTATGGTACAGCCCCTCCCAGTAACACCTTTCACCGACCTTCCTAAAGAGAAATTTCAGTGCATTTTTCTACATGTGGTAATTGAGGGTTTCAGAGGCAAGTGCTCAGTTACTGGGGAAGAGTGCCTAAGGAAAATTTACCGTCTCAGCGTAGCTGCAGCGTGTACTCTGGTTTCCTTCTGGACGCTTTTTAGTTAAAGGTTAATCTGCAACAATTTATACATAGTCTAATTTAACTACCCAAGGAGTTACATACTCAGCAGAAAATCATTTCCTTGAACTGGCCTCTAAACTCCTATAGCATGTTTGTGACTTAATGAATGCAGTCACAAATTTATGACACTAGTCATGTCACTAGTAAACTGAAGGTTCAGATGTGATCATAGCAGATGACATTCACACTTGACAAGGAAAGCCAAGTCCCAACAAATTACTATATAAAGCATAACCTAGCATTAAAGATCAGAATTTTTTCCTTTCCTAAGTTCCTGATTTCACCCACCTATAAAACACTAGGTTCAATATGAATAGTGAGACACCACCTTAGGGCTAGAGCTGAAATAGTGTTACATTTAATTTGGGTATTTATGGAATGAAATAAAGAAATAGTTGCCTATGAGAAGAAGGTCAAGAGGGCTCTAGGGTGGAAGGAAGGTATTTTCATTGTGTTACCTTTTTATGTCACTTGAAAGATTACTGTGGGGGGCCAGCCCGGTGGCGCACTGCTGCAGTGCGCCGCTTGGGAAGCGCGGTGGCGCTCCCGCCCAGGGTTCGGATCCCACATACAGACCGGCCGCTCACTGGCTGAGCGAGGTGAGGGTTCGGATCCCACATACAGACCGGCCGCTCACTGGCTGAGCGAGGTGAG